TCAGGTGGCAGTGGTCACTGGCAAAGCCAGAGCTAGTGTCGACTGCGTCCAGCCAGGCCTGAGAGAGCATGGGACAGTGGTGGCAGCTGATTCAGTAGGATTGCGGAGCAGGTTCCAGTGTTCTGTAAATTGGTGTGTTGCTATTGCCCGAGGGGATGTCGCCTGCAAAGGCCTTCTGCTGCGTTGGCAAAAGAAGTGGCGTGGTAAGTGGCCCTTACGAAGGCGTGCTCATTTGGACGCGCGGGTGTGTGCGCACCTGTGTACGTGAGTGAATTAGCTGAGGTCAACTGTGGGGGCCGCTGGCACAGCTGTTATCGGTTAGCCAGAAGCAGCTTCGAGGTCAAGCCTCAGGGGCGGGGGCGCCAGTGAAAGAAAGCATTGAAACAGTTGTTTGTGGCGACGCGTGACTTTAGGGCAGCGGGCCTTGGAGAACGAGGGGTTGGGATGGACAGGCATTGTGGCCGTCCGCCACAAGCAGTTTTTAGATCGGGGCAATCGTTTCTGACATATTGTTCGTCATCCGCCGATCACACCCCAACCCCGCCTTATACCTCAATCAGAAAACGTCTAACTGTAGGTGATTTTTGTAAGCCGACTAATGCTGTCAGTAAAAATGATCTCCAGTAGGCATTCAGTCTACTACTAAGTACACTGACCTACTCAATCCATATTCGGTGCTGAGACTTCGTTTGACCAAAGTACTTAGCCACGCTCGAGCAGGGCGCAGGCGAATACTGCTTCCAACCCCAGTGGCGGTGAACCAGGTAATCGAGCAGTGATCATGCTAACAGCAAGCAGGGCTGATACATTTTCAGACATCAACGACGCAAACGCCGGCTAGTAAACAATTATCGCACCAGAGTACAATCATCCTCGACGGAGGGAGCCGTTTATTGTCCTGGGTATGCAGTATCACAACGATTACATCAATACATTTATGCTACAATCACCTGAATATATGTTTTTCTAGCCGTTAGAGGCACCTTTGAAACTTTCACGATGTTCCGGTTTTACCATTAAAATGCTCACGTGCTCAAAGACACTGTCGTTGGGCAACTATCATCAAGTTAATTACCGGCAATGCCAAGGGAGGCTGGAATG